TTGAGAAGGAGAAGTAACCCCAAAACCCCAAAACCCCTTATTAAACTTAGAAAAAATTTTTAACATTATTACTTTCTAAAATAATGATTTAATAAGTCTTTTAAATGTGGCAGAGTAATAAGTAATTAATTTCCATTAATTTTTACTTTTCTGTTCTATTGATTGTCAAACTACTGGTATCGTTAAATCAAATCCAACCTAACAAGGGCTTAACCCATCATTGTTTATCATGACTTTTACATATCCGTTTTCTCCCCATGAAGTTCCCCACTAGTTTTTTATTATCCAATATTCTAGATTATAATTTGTCTTTCCCCACCCTATTAGTAGGACTGAATGATCTATATTCTAGCTACAATCATAAGATGTGATCACACCACTTGAGTAAAATCTAAAAACCTCACTAGATGAAGATATGCCTATTGCATATGGCTAATTCATCAGTGTCATTTTCATTATGCTGCTGTGTCTTCCAGTTTTATACAATGTCTATTTAATGGGCGGTACACTTGAGTCATTGCTTAATGTTTTATTACATTCTTTATTTCTTCCTAAGTAGGGATATAATTTTTCAAAAGCTACTCTTGTATTGGTCATCAGGTATCCTGCCTAAAATTCAAAACCTCCATTACACCCAAATGCTCCATAATTAACTGAGCAATCTATTATTTACTACTCAGAGAGATCTATACCTTGATATTTTTCTTTATTTTTAATTAACAATGCGCTCTCAAGAGCAGCAATCATTGTAAAACAATAGCAACCTCCACATCCTCCTTGGTCTTTAACTGAGGTTATTACATTCTTTTATCTCCAGTCAAATGACTCTGGAAGTTTCAATATATCTCTTGATTCAATTATTTTTGTATTAAGCTTACCACTTTTATTTGTACTATTATTAGTGTTGTCTTAGTCTACTGTCTAGTCTTGCTCAGACGATGACGAATTAATAATATTTTAGGAGGTTTATGGCCTGCCAGTATATAATCTTTTGAATTCTTCCACTGAGAGATCAGAAAATCTATTTGCCTTTAAAACAAAACTCTTTTGATTCTAGTTGTATTTATCAATGATTGCAATGTTATTTTTAAAAGTGTTTAAGCCATTCAAGTATTCAAAGGTTTGTTTATAATTTTTATCATATTTCTGAAGGTACTGGTTATATCGTAATCGTATAAGATTATCAAAATCATTTTTAATTTACGATTCTTAAAGGAAAGTAGACGATTAAGATCCTTTGGAAAATCCTGGTGATAATACTTGTAATAGAATTGCTAGAGTAGCCGTAAATACAACAAGCAGAGTTATTGTCAGAATTATTGCTTTTTTGAACATTAAAGATTTTAATAAACACTGCTTTAGAGCTAGGTATTAAGTAATTCAAATTTAAGTTTGTGAGATATTGATTTTGAGATTAATAACTTATATTTTCAATTATAGATATTCTATTTTTCTTCTCAACATTGTCTGCTTTCATCATGGGGTTTTGGGGTTTTGGGGTTTTGGGGTTTTGGGG